ATTTGATAACGAAACATGCATTATATATTCATGATGACCAACTTTATTATGTACAGAACGGGAATTATGTTGTCCACGGCATCGTTGTTGTTGTCGCTATTGTTTTCGTTGTCGTTGTCGTTGTCTTTGTTCTCCTTATTGTTGTCGTTGTCGTTGTCTTTGTTGTACGCTTTGATGGGAGTCACTTTAATGGAAATAATTAGATACCAGCTCTTCTCTCGTTTTCTGATCACATATGTAAAACATGCGCGTGTAACATTGTTGGGACTGACATAGGGGCAAGACGAAAGACAGGTTTTAAGACCATGCCTAGAAATGTAGAGAGACAATCTATCGGTTATGGTGCAGACAAGATGTTTGATGACCACTGTTGACCCGCCAACCAGAGGCTGTCTTGGAATAGGGATCGAAAAAGCATATAATGGTTGGAATCCATTTGACAATGCTGTCAACAGTAGTCTCCGGAAATCAGTATCGTCAATGCCCAACCGAAGTAGCGGTTTTAGTTTACGAACAGCAGAGAAATACATAAATTCATATTGACTATTGAATTAAAATATTGTTAAAGATAACTTTAAGTTCAAATTCAAATAAATTTTGTTTATAGTCTGTACATTTTATCAACATTACAACAAAAGCCTTTTATTTTTTCTTAAACGACTGCATTATAGACGGAAATAATACTATTTACTTGGCATCAACGTCCATACATATTTAGTGAATTAATGAAGAATTTGTTCACAGAATGACAAGGCAGTTTATAGTGATGTTACACTCATACGATAAAAATAGATATTAACTGAACATTTGTATATCACAATACAATGGTTAAAATCACCGCAACAGTTTCGTTTTGTTTAAATATAACAATTAAGGGAGATAATCACAATTCAGGTTTGATATAACACAAACAGTGTAATGTCACTGATATCCACAAACACGACTCTTGCGTTACTTTACCTGGTAAGTTGTAGTATTTTAGATTCAAAGTCAGAATATACCAACTTTGTACTGGGTATCAAGCTCTATCGGCACATAGGGCGTCTATATTTGTTATCATTCCGGTGTGGTATGAGTTTTCGAAAATCTTTAAAAGAGGTAGCTGTCCTGACGCGATCAGGCAAAACATTCCAAGTAGTAACAGCTAAACCTCTCAAACTTGTTCCGTCTATTGTACATAAAAGAGTGAGGTGAGAGTTTCTCATAAATAAAACAAGGACATAAATAAAATATTGTCAAAACATGGACTGGACTTCAGATCATTTGAAAAAGTATGCAGCTTGTATGCATCACAATGATTATAATATAAACAACATCTCACAAGTTGTTATGATGTCTCTAATTAGACGTGATATTTAACGTGGAACTTTGCTGGCAAGATCTTCCAACAGACCATTGGCATACTTAAGGGAACCAACTGTGCCTCTCTGTTGGCTTACTTGTTTTTGTCTTCATACGAAACTGAATTTATCGAGGATCTTATCAAACAAGTCACAAGCACCTTGCAAAGTCGTTTAAATATGGATCAATTGTATATACCCATCAGGATTGGAAATCAAGGACATGTTAGACTCTTCAATGTTAGCCTCTTATCTGGACATTTTCCTACAACGAAACAAACATGGACAGCTTTTTAATAAGCTGCATGATAAGCGTGATGATTTCAGTTTCCCTATTTTGAATTTTCCATTTCTGGATATCGACATCCCTGCATCGCCAACATACTTTACATGGACTTTACATGTCGCAGTTGAGTCTATATTCAATGGCCTGTCTCAATTAGCACGACTTTCGTGCATAGTGTCGTCAGCCGCCGGAAAAACACTCTTAACGCAGGGTTTCAAAAGATGCAGGTTGATGAAAATTTTGGAGAAGTTTTACCATGTCGCCACAGTAAAACCATTGAAAATCATTCTGTTTCTTTGTAGATGTGAAGATGGATGTGTTTGATAATTGTTAGTTTACCTGTGTGTTCCGTTGTTGTACACCTTGTTCTCATTTGAGAATGTGACATTTCTTACTTGGATTGGTCACCATTTACATGGCGGGTGTCGTCCATGACGATGAAGCAGAAGACGCTCCTTTTACAGAACACATGGTCTTATTCTCCTTGTACCTTTTCAGAGGTCACCGTGTAAATCTTTCTTTTGTTCATATTTTGCCATGGTTTTATTATTGAATTTGAGCTTAAATTATAGTTGTGTTGACATCATGGTATTATCTCGCTTGTTTTTGTCACTGGCGATTCAATTGAAGTAGACTACCGTTCTTAACCCTTATAGCAAGATATTTGATGACGTCATCTTCATCAACGTTAAAAAACAAATGGATTGCTGGTTAAAAATAGGAATGGCTTACATTTTTTCATGAAATGTGAAATTTGTCACGAAGTTTTAAAGGTACAAATTACAGATACATCTATGAATTTTAGCTTTTTCCTAGGTGTTTCATGTAAAAAAAAAATTATATCGCATTATTAAATGATATTATCATACTGTGCATTCACTTTATCAAGCTTGTTATGAAAAATCATTTTCAAAATGTGCGTTGACTGTGAGATGGTGGGCGATATATTGATTCACCAACCATTTAACTTGTTTACTGTTAATTCAATGGTAAGGTCCCTGTATTATTTATCGGTTTATGATGATGTGTGAGACAATATAGCAGTTCCAAGGGAAATAACACTTGCGGCTTTGTTCATGTTAAAGGATAAGGTACTCATCTCAGACCATGCTACTTTTTATTGTGTACCTAATACCCGTGACGTCACCACAACTGGTGTACATGTACATTTACTGTGTGCGCGTAGCGACAGCGTAAACCGGGGTCGGTATCTGAACTAAGTTCATACAAATATGTAACAGTTCACACTACAAAAATATCAAAGAATATGCAAATGGACTGATTATTATGTAGCGAGCGCGGATAAACTTTATGGCACTGTATGTGAAAATTCAAAGTGGTTGAAAATAGAACTCAGCAAAAACCAATAGTCTGCATTTGTGATCAGTCTTGCAAAGCCGGGCTTCACGTTCTGCACCATGGATTGTGAACATGAAAGCAAACACATTGTATTAAAGATTTAAAACCAGTGCCGAAAACACGTCGAGAAATTAAATTTTAAATGATCAGGATGACATCAAATCTTAATTCCGGGACATACTAAATAGAAGGGTACAATACGAAGCAAAACCACACTAAGATACGGAAAAGTACAACGACGGGTTATCTAGTCCATATGGAGTGCAATCATCGCTAGTTCTAGTGGTGCTTCTTCCAAGTGACGGTATATGATAAATATTGATTCAATAATGGATATCTCTACTTTGAGAAATTACATTTACACATGGCTTGGGGTAATTATACACGTATCTTATAGAACTGTGTGTAATTGCACCACTGTTTAAATTGCTAGACAGGAATGAAAATGTATAAAAACGTAATCAAAGGTAATCTAGGATAACGTTTAATGGGTATTCAGATTGTGGATGCTATTTAATGCACATTCGAATATTTTTCCGCGTATACAATTGTAATGCTTTGGTGGGAATGGCAATTTCAGGTACTTAACAATTCTGGTTTTTGTGATGTTCATTGGGGTACAACGACATTTGTATTTTTTAATTATGTTCTGGTTTCGAATTTTGTGCGGTATCTTACCCATGTCAGCTCTGATTTTAAGGAAAACAAGTCCGAGAGTTGGGTTTTTCAAAAGACGTTGAAGATCCATCCGCAAATTACAATTATTTCTTTTCTTTCCTCAAATTATGAAGAGTTATAGAAGAATACGAACAATAAACATATCGTATATATATATATATATATATTATTGGACCACAAAAAAAATATTTCGCAATGGGATCATAATGACAAATGTAACGTTTTGTTCATCAACCTGCGTCTTTTGAAACCCTGTGTCGTGAGTTTGCCCGTTAATCGTAGAAATGACCCTTGAATATCGAATCAACTACGACTTGTAAACACAAAAAGCTGGGGAATCAGGGATGTTGCTATTCAGAAATGGAAAATTTGCGACAGGAAAACTTAAATCATCGCGTTGATCATCCAGCTTGATGAAGAACTGTCATGTTGATTTTGTTGATAGAAAATGTTCTGATAATTAAAGACAAGAAAAGCAATATTTCCTAAAGTGTATTTCAATGCTTGATTTAACGATTTTCTGGAAAGAAACAGTATGTATAGAACGCTATGTGCTGTCATGATTGTATCCATTTGGAGACACTTCACCTTTCGTTGCTCGGGGATCAAGCGAGGGGCATTCAGTTTGCTGTTTGGCCGAGTTCGTTACTGTGACGGGTGCATGTCTGGTACGTTATTTCCCTATTCAACACATCTCATTTGGTTTGAGCTCTGCTGCAGTAGTACGAGATAAGTAAATCATTTATGATTTCTTCATGTAACATAGCTTAGATTTAGAAAACGGTCTTCAATTATCTATTATACAGTATCAATCAGGTTTGCATAACAATCCAAAAAGATTTCGTGCAATATGAATGTAACCGATGAACATCCGTGTCCCCAAACAGTTTTAAAAATACTTTTAATCCATGGATTGAAGTTAAAGCCATATGTTTCATGATTGTTCTGAAAGGGACTTTTTTTATATGTGATAAATTTTGTACACTGCCAATTGAGATTATTATTATTAACGTAATGAAAGATATCATCTTTGTTTTTGTAAAATTGCTTTTAAGTTATTCAATACCTATTTCCTGGCTTCTACATTCTAATACTAAGTAATAAATATGAAAGTCTGATTGAGACTAAATGGCACAAATCATCTACCTTAGTCACACTTGTACTTTCTTTTCTTTGCATGTTGACTAGTATTTACTTGTATAGCTGTTCCATTTCATTGCTCATATTACAATAATCAATACTAAATAGTATATGCATGCTTTCCAACTGCAGTAAGCATATGAGATTTAGAAGTTCGAACACCCAACAAACGTCGTCAGGGCATTACACTGGTCAGTATGAACTTCATAAGGGATCTATGGATTGTTTTTTTTATATTACCTGCCGCGAAGCTTCAAGCCGTGGTACCACTTCACGAGAAAAACCCACCCTTGTACAGAGAATTGTTCTCTATTGATATGTCCACTGTCTATCAGTGTATGGAGCTTTGCTGGGCATACAAGATCTGTAAGACTCTTTCATACTGTAAATCAACAAGGAGGTGTTTTCTACACAACTTCCCTATCAGTCACCGCAGTGTCATAAGACTCCTATCGGGTTGTGTTGTTTTGACAAGACAACGATTACCACAGGTAAGTAACACCTTGTATTATTTCGTTAAAATTCCTCCATATTGTATTATATTATATTATTATATTATATTATTTTCTCTCCACAATGTCACCTATTTTTTCATGTGCCATACTTATCAAATTTTAAAATGTGATTTCTGTTGTGCTTAGTTGATTCATGGTCATTGTCAAGATCATGCCTGCGATGTTGACGAGATGTGTGTTTCAGCTCCGATAGGATACACTTGTGTTAAACATGGTAAGTTAAGAGAGTCTAATTCTATCACAGTTGACCAATATTTCTTTAGTCGTCTAATCATCTTTCAACTTCATTTGTAGACTGTACAAAGAACACACAAGTGAATAGCACCTTTTAATACAACTTTAAAGTTAGATACAGTAGAGTCAAACAATGAATTAAACTGCACCATTCTAGGACTCGTCAGTGACGCTGTATGAAGCCTATGAGGCGACAGGGAAAACCATAATGCAATAAGTAGATGGGGAAGCCCCACAATTTAATAAATATCTTAAAAGTTCATCTGTTTTCACTTATCATAAATCTTGAAAATAACGGAATGAGCAAATTTTCAGTCTAAAAATTGTGCGTTCAATTAAAATCATGTATTTACACAGGCAAAAAAACCCATAAAATTAATCAGATAATTCTATTTAATTAGTTAGTGATTTTTCCTTGTTCAGCCTTGTAATTTTGGCAACACGGCAACACGTATCGTATATATAACACTGAATCCCCTGGACCCTAACACACTGCAATATCCTAAAGCGTACCGTTTGTACCGTTTGGTTTTGCGTACATTGCAGGTATTTGCAAAATAATTCATATAACAGACATAGCTATATGAGGTATTTGTCATGTATCTATTTCGTGAAAAACCGATATTTTTTTATCCGTGCGTCACTTCTTTTCAAACTTCCTCACTTGACAGAATTTTGTAATATGTAAATCGCGTGTTGATGTTACGATTCACCTAACCTTAAAATTTGACTGAACCGCGATATTTTTCTTTTTTTCGTAGAAACTGCTTTACATAATATACCTTCCATGATAACTGGCAATATCCCTCATCACTTACTCCTGTATGACCAGTATGGAGAAATGCGAAAACCCTCCGCCTCCAACCCCACCTCTAGTGAGAATAGCAATTCTGTTACCAGATAAAATGTATGATGAATAGTTCAGCGATTATAGATCACTTATGATTTTCATATGATGTGTTGAGTTTAAACTGTCGCAGATCCTTTACAATAAAACATCCTTGTTCCAGTCGATTGACATTTTTGGCAAATTTGAGAGTTTGTAACCGATTTTTTTTATTCTTTTATTGGCATTTGGTGTGTTATCTTACTCCTTAGTTGCCAAGGCCATATATTCTAAATGACCCAAAATGTATCTGCGAATGGATATCTTGATCTTGGAACAGAATGCCTTTATCTACCATTTTTCATTCTTACGTGTTACAAGGCACTTGACAATGCATAGACGAATCAGAGCAAAGGAATACAAACAGCTTATATCTTTGGGCCAATTTTACTCTCTCTCAGTTGTCTTTAAGATTTTAGCACCAGAGGCCCTAAATACAGTTTCGTTCTCTGTCGTGTCTTAGAAGAACGAAATAGCTGTATGGCATAGTTCTATTCATTATTTGGCTCTGTTGTGTGTAATTCTAGACTTATCTAGAAAAGGGTCATTCATTATGGCTCTTTAGTACAATAATTAACTTAGTTGTTTGGAAGATCAATATGCATTGAAAACTTGCATATGGCAAAAAGGGTATTGACTATTTAACGAGTTCAAAACTAGCTAATACAGTACTTACTTCGTTTTTATATTATCGGAGGGTGTCCAATTCGGATCGGAAGTGTATCGTTCAACGCTCCTTAACCAAAGTTCTGTGCTTCTCAAGAGGCTGAGAAATGGACCTATCTGTGCTGACCTTATTGTGTCATTGGGCCACTTTACCCGAACCGTCCTGGATGGCACACGACGAGCTTCTTGTATGTTGCTCGATTAGATTACCACTAGCTTCTACAATACTCGCTTTTAAATAACCCTGGTTGTCGACAAACCCGACAAACACAATATCAACGTATTGTCAAAATTCTCTTCGTGGTGGTTGTAACGTCAGTATGTAGTTTCGAGAGACGCAACTTGATAACGACTTTGGAGAAGATTTTATGATCGTGATTAGCATTTCCGTGTGTGATGTGATGCTAGTTATGTTCGATGCTCGTGCACGGCCTTTTTAAAATACACACACACATATATATATATGGACGTAAGCAGGATCCGTAATCTGTGAAAAATTCTCATGTGCTATTTGAAAATTTGTTTGTCAGTTGCCGACACGAAAATTGCAATACTGGGAACATACTAATAGATATCGAAGCAACGAAATGCACACCATAGGTTAGGCATGAAAGGGGTGTTGAGCTGTCCTTGTTGGTATTGCTGTAAGAAAAGTTCAAGGTAAACTGCTGATGTAGAGGACTCTGCCGTTTCCCTTGTCTTCACTATTTGTCAGTTCTGAAGGATATCTACGATGGACATGCTCAATAAATTTCTCTTTATCTAAATCTATATATCTGAAAGTGAAACTCTCTGTACAACTCTTCGATAGATTCAGCTTTCTCTCTCTCTCTCTCTCTCTCTCTCTCTCTCTCTCTCTCTCTCTCTCTCTCTCTCTCTCTCTCTCTCTCTCTCTCTCTCTCTCTCTCTCTCTCTCTCTCTCTCTCTCTCTCTCTCTCTCTCTCTCGTTTATATATTAATAACGTTTGCGTTTTTAGAGCTGTCCACTGTCAACTGTCCTGAATATCCCGCGCAGTATCACGGCACATGTGTCATGCCGGTTTTCCAGAGAACAACATGGGATGAGGCTGAGGTAGGATAAACCTGGACATTTTGTACAATATATTGTGTTAACAATAACATTTTTTTAAAACAAATGCACACATTATTATATTTGCCTGAACATGACAAAGAAGCTAAACGTTTATTCGGGAATATATACAGAATATCAAGACCAGTGCCAGATACAAAAAAAGTAGAATATAACAACACGAAATGATGTATATCTGAATTAGGTGATTATTCAGCTATGCTCCACTGTATTTTCAATCTTTTATTTTGTCTACGTATCAAATCTGTTCTTGTCCTTGTTTTGCCGTAAATCTATATAAGAAAAAAAGAAAAGAAAACAAATATCAAATTATCAGAATCTCACTTCTTGGCCTCGTTGTGCCCGTAGCCTTTTGTAGCATTGTACGTAAGACTTTTGCTGTTGGCATTGTGTCATCGCAGAAATATGGAGATGTATTGACATTTGCTATACTTCTCAGAATGTAGCTTACTTCATTTGAAAAGATATAATCTAGCCTCATTAATTATTCCTATTAATGTTGTCTATTTGGAGACAAAGTCAGATGTATCTTATGAATAATTCTCTGTGCCCTGTTTGCTCGAATGATTGATGTCAACGACAAAGACGTTGATACCCTTATCAATCGAAGCAGAATAGTTCAGGTAGCATGGTCTATTAATAAACGTCAGAATAATTCAATGTGGACACGTTCAATAAAATATACACCTCTGTTGTTTTCGTATTTACATTAATATATAAAACGCCATTTCTGTACTAGCTGAGCTTTTTCATGGGATTAGATAAACTTGTGGGAAATGGACTTTTTTGAGTCTGTATCCGTTGAGATGGTCATGCTTAATATTTTCAACATTATGGTATTCCGTAACCACTAGAAGCCCTATATTTTGAATTCGTTACGGGTCAACAGTTTGAAGTGTAAAATGCTTAAAATTTATATTCAGTTAAATACAATTATATATGAGTGGCTTTACTTGTGTTTTAGGCCTCTAGTGAATATGTTACATATTTCATCTGTTTGAAAACAGACTTGAATAGGCTCTGCCAGACGTCTAGGTCTTTTGTCGGGTGTACCTAGTAGTGATGTAAGTGAAGGCACATAACAAATAACAGAAAAAAAATACCAACAAACTCAAATTTTAAGTCTGGGCAAAATATGAACAAACGAAAGATCTATATGAAGACTCCTGAAAAAGTACAAAGAGAATAAGACCAGGTGTTTCGGATGAGTACGCGTCTTATGCTTTGGTCAATCCAAGTAAGTAATGTCATTCTCAAATGAGAACACGCTGTACAACAAAGTAACCATCAGGCAAACTAACACGAACAACAAACACGTCCAGCTTCATTTCGCGCTAAGATGATATTTCGCAATGAGATGATTTTGACTATCCATTTTTTCCAATATTTTTCGTCAGCCTGCATTCTTTTGGAACTATGTCCATCAATTGACGACTTCAGGCACGAAAATCGTGATAATGGGGACAGAACTTTGAATGTAAATACCATAGGTTGGGGTTAGAAATGCGAAAGGCTCTATTTCCGACATCAAAGTTGGACTTATTTTATGCCTGGTAATTCCGTTGTTATTAGCCCCGTTAAATGCATTAAAAAGGGCACAAGACAAACGTTGTACTGTTCGCATGGTATATAATGAAACAACAAAACACACGACAGCACTTCACCAACCTCAAAGTAGTCGACGGTATATGTCTCTGTTAGATCTCACACCATCTGTAGTTATATCTACAAGTCGTGCGTCGAATTGACTTTTTTGGTATGATTCCTGCGTGTTGTATGGATAGAAATTGCATACTATTTAAATGACAGTACATGATATGGACAAGAGTAGCTACAAGGGAGTGCACTTTGATTTACAAAGATTTACAAGGCATGTGTCGTCAGTCGTCAATGTTGCCATGGGTTTCTGTATCATTCTTTTGTCGATATCCTCCCCCACCACCACCACTTTATTTCAATGTAAATTAAGGCCCTATTGTTTGGGTTTATTTTTTAATAAATCCATGAAAAACATCCTTTCAATTACAATCCTGTTCTGACTCTTTTCGTTTTTTTCAGAATCGATGCCAAGACGGGGCGACGTTAGTGGAAATTTTCTCCTATGAGTTCCATCTTCTTGTAACTTCTCTAGCGACCTCCTCATGCTGTGAGTCCTTTCTTATTATATAAGCAACGAATGGTAATACCGTATGTTGCATTAGTGAACTTGAAATTTTATTTTGATCATATCTAGTTTCGAACGGCTCTTGTTAAATGTGCTTGAAGAACACTTTCTCGTAAGTAGAGTCTAACAAATGTATTCAAATGATCTCTGTTTTCTCGCCAGGACAAAGCGAATCACATATTGCAAAGAAGGGCATAATGTTCGGGGTAAACCTAAAAGTCCCGAAAACGTCACATCAGTCAAATCTTTAGAACAGTTTAGTTATACAGGCCCATCTTATATTACTCTTTTTTTCAATCACTCACTACGAGTTTTAATAATCAATACGTTCATTTTAAGGCATGAATTAACTTCTTGTGTCAATAGCGACGACGCTATTTGCTATGAGATCAATTTCCCTGGATATTAGAGCTTAAAGTTGTATAATTTATCGTGATTGGTCAACAAACAATTCTTTTGAGCATTTCACACTCAAAGCTGTACTTTATTTGGACAACACGAATACATCTTAAAAGTCATGTCGGGTGGTGGTCAAGCGCTGCTAGTCGATAAGCGAACGATAAAAGAGCACACTCTACTGTAAGTTCTGCGATAAGATATTCTTAAAAGAAAATTACAAGGTAATGGAATGCAAGGAACGCAAAGATCGGTTCTGATTGGAGTGTCTTGCAAAGGGAGACAATGGGTAGTGGGATCTTCCAAACTCCGGCTTCTTTCATGTGATTATGTGCACCATGTCGTGTCACAGTCGAGAAAACAAATTCTGTTTGAATATGAAGATAGAACAGAAATTTGCAGAAAGTATGGATAGATATGGGAAGAGAAAATAGGAACTGGATGTTCAACTGTCACAGGAGAGTAGAGGGGGTTAAGAGATCTTGTCAAGAAAGAATAGGCAAAGTCACCGGTAAAACTTGAATCGGGACTAACCTCAGATATGCAAGTAACATTAAAAGAATTAGAGGACAGAACAAAAAGGGAAGCATACATGTCAATTTTTGAAAGTAAAGAACAATCAAACGAAAACGGAAACGAAAGAAAGGAACAGAACAGAACGAAAGAAATATCAAGAATACGCTGACCACCTGCAAAATAAAACCAGATTGATTTTAGAATTGGAACGTTTGACAAGTCGAAACAGGGAACGTTAAAAGACCAAGGCCAATTTAAGTATCATTGATGTCAATTGATGACAAACGATTTTCTTTCAAAACATATAGCAACTAAAACATAATACCGAAAAGAAACGATTCAACCATGAATGAGAGAGAAAGGAAGTCGGCACTGAAGGAAGAAGCAAAAACAAAGAACGAGGAAATTGGAAGAATGTGAAAGGGGACCACCTTGGAAGAGGAAAACAACAAGGCTTGAAATAAAAACACACCAATAGCCGGTTTTATACAAGTAATGATGATCTAAATGATAAGATAGACAGAAAGTTCCACTGGTATAACTACGGTCACAAAAGTAAATCCAGAACACTAGATAGTTACCAAACACAGCTGAATTTTCCATCGCGGGATACAATTTGTTTATGAAAGAAAACACGTTAAACTGTCACAAAGGAATTGAGATTCATTAAAAAAAATGGGGTTGAAGAAAATATTTGAATTTTAAGAAAATTTATTGTTAAAAATCAAACTGCTTGGAAACAATTATCTATTAGTTTTTGATGTTTATAGAAAAGCCCTTATACTAATGAGGAAACATTGATGGCCTTCATAAAGGAATTGCAGAAAAGTATGGGGGATTTTAACCTACCAAAAATTGACTGGAACACCACGTCGTCAACAGGAGACACTGATTGCAGTTGTTTTTCTTGGATTTTTACCAGAATTATTTCAGCTAGAATATGATGAACTAGAAGAAACAATCCTGCCAATTTACACCTTATCCTAACAAATGAGGACGAAATGCTAAAAACATGTTGTATAAGAGCTAAGTTGAATGTAATGACCCTATGGTCTTTACCTTTCATTTCCACTAGTATAAAACAAATGGCGTCTACAAAGGCATGAAGGGTAACTACAATGGTACGAGGAGAGATGTTTACCGGAAAATATATACGATCAATCCACGAAGGTATTTGATAAAAGTGCAGAGAAATATTCCATAGAGAAAACTAACAAAAAAAAAAAAAAAAAAACACCGAGCATGGTAGCGATGCCAAGTGAAGTGAAATTAAAAGAATACGCCGAAACCAAGTATATTGGGAATTATAGAAGAAAAAGAGAAGCTGATAGTTCGGATCCGAAATGCTCAAACGGAAATGATAAGCGATACGGATAACGCTGAAATCTTTCTTATTCAAGAATCCATTGATAGTTTACTTGAATTCAGCAATAGAATTTCGAAACACATTTTAACTGAAACTTTAACCCTAAAATACTACCACATGTTTGGAAAGAGATATATTGTCTGTCTTTAAGAAATAATCAAAATCGGAACCGGGAAAGTACAGACCGATTAGAGTTAATGTGAAATTATTGGAAAATGCGTGAGACACACATTGGAAAGAAGTAACCGACTACCTGGATTTATATCTGAAAGACAAACAGAACTACAGTTACTATATTACGGTTGTTTATATTCAAAAATAACTAGATACGGTTTGTATGGATGTATTAAAGATATATGACAACGCCTCTTGAAGAAACATGCAGCAATATATGATATAAATAGAATTTGTATCTAATATGGACATAGAGGCTGTAATGTTGCGTCCAATATAGCAATCTGCAGAAAAAAAGAGTAGTTAAAGGAATCTGCTTTTAAGAACATTCCAAAAATGGGCATTACATAAACAATAATGAGAACAACATAATCTTGAGCTCAAAATCTTGTTGCGTGGGCAAAAACAATAAAGAGAAACATTTACGTTGATAACTTTCAAAACTTTAACAAACACAAACCTAAAATGCAAATTGAACTGATATCAAAACTCTTCGGGATAGTTCATACGAAAACTGGGCTGCACGGTTAAAATCAATTTAACCACCAGATATGATAAAATAAATACATCGAAGAAGTATATGAAATAGTTCTCAAGCAGATGTTAGTGGCTATCACAACACTTCCCTCATAGACTTCGTCATCCTGAAAAGTAATTAGGCAGTATTTCACCCTAAGAAACAATATAGGTTAGAATTGCGATGGGCCCGTATCAAATACAAGTACTGAATAGCTGTTAATGTAGGAAGCTATCAGACCAAACTGCATTTAATAGACAATTTTTCATCAACCGCTTATCCCAATCTTTTCGTTCATCAACAGGTATATTTCCCCACCAAAACGTATGTAACTAACAGTATTTTCCATTTACGAATTTTTAATGCTCCCCAAAAATTCCCTTGGAAGTTTAAAGTCACCGCTAGTCCGTTCGTCCGTCCGTCCTTTCGTGCGTGTCCGGAGCATAAGGTTGCTCACAGTTGAGCAAGCATCGTGAAATTTATTGTATACATCGATCTTACTTAGGCATTGTGCAGTATACCAAATTCAGGCGCCACGATACCAATGTAACAGTGTTACTGCCCTTTGTTAAAATTTCGCATAACTTTGGTTGCATTTAAGCAAGGATATTGAAACGTGGTGTATAAATCAGTCACACAAAAGCACGGTGCGGTGTAGCAATGTCCAAACCCATGATCCCTCAGTTGCAGAGTAATTGCCCTTTGTTAAAATTTTGCTTTGCGTGCATTAAAACTATGGTCAAGAAACTTATCAAACTATGAAAATTTGCAGTATACAAAATTATCTGCAATCCCTTAATTACATAATTATTGCCCTTTGTTAAAATTTTGTTCCAATATTGTCTTTTTCGGGGAGCATTCATCGGTTTCACTGATACTCTTGTCAATTTTTAGACAAACAATCCATACCCTCCGATGTCTAAATTGAATACCTTTCAAAATATCGACTGCTGAGAGTCACACTCACAATTCATGATCACGATAGCTGCAGATAGTGAAGATTGTGATTATCAATGGTCGTTACCATAAATCTCCTTAAGAAATACTCCATTTCTTTGTGATAATAAAACAGATGTGTTTGATGTCCGTTAGTGTACCTGCCGCAATGTTAGGAGCATGTTGTCACATACATGAACTGACCGATGTAGACAAAATGAGCTTGAGGTTAAATGTGGAAATGTGACATTTTCTGCTGAATAATCGATAATCGATAAAAGAAATTATCTACCACTCGCTTCCGGGTGATACGTAATCTATGAAACACGTTACATTTCTTCTTTTTTTCAATTTGAGTTCGCCAAAGGCTGACTAAAGTAAAGATCTTCGAAAGTGTCATCAAACGCGTAGCATATGGACTTTCTTTTGAGATCCTATTTGAAAGTATATTGCTTGCCTTTAATTTTCTTCATGTAGGGATCAATTCTTGTGACCAACCAAAAAGATACTGGCTTGGTCTAAGGTACTCGATTGAGCAGTCGGCTTTCGTTTGGAACTCCTCGGGAAAGATTCTCAGGTCAACAGACTTCCATATGTTCCTCGACTTTCCTTCAAACATTACTAGTAAACTATGCGTCGGAATGTCTGAAATTGTGCGAGGAATTGGGCTTAGCTGGTCCCTACTGGATTGTGAGGATGAAAACTTCATCATGTGCCAAGACATGTAAGTAAGGAAAACCGAAGACGTCGTTATTTCAGTCATAAAGCATGTTGTAACCGTACTTCCACGTGAGGTATTAAATACAAGATTGGACAACATCTAACACGGGGTTTCATTACTTTTTGGAATAGTTCTTTGCATCATTAATGATCGAAATGTATCTTTTGTTATCATTGTATATTGTGTCTCTTGCCTTTTCTTATCATATAAATCTCTCATCTCGATGACGTATTACATTATTAGTACTATACATAATTAGTATTTAAGAAAATGGCTATGCATTGATGATATATAAGTGTTTTTAAATTGCATTTTAGTGATTCAAAACACCACTGGACATGAACTACCCAGACAGATCGACATCATCCGACTCAACAACTTCGTGGTCAAGAATACCATACTAACTTCGAAAAATACAACGTTCATGTACCCATACTGGTATTAAGTGCGTATTTGTTATATACGTTATTTTTATATTAACATTCCTGTAGAAAGTGTGAAAGTAGCGTTCTAATACGTCACAGATTTTTCTGTTAACATTCCTTACTGAAGAAATTGTGAAAGTAGCGTTCTAATACGTCACAGATTTTTATGTTAACATTCCTGTAGAAAGTGTGAAAGTAGCGTTCTAATACGTCACAGATTTTTATGTTAACATTCCTGTAGAATGTGTAAAAGTAGCGTTCTAATACGTTATATAATTTTATGGTAACATTCCTTTCTGTAGAAAGTGTGAAAGTAGCGTTCTAATACGTCACAGATTTTTCTGTTAACATTCCTTACTGAAGAAATTGTGAAAGTAGCGTTCTAATACGTCACAGATTGTTATGTTAACATTCCTTACTGTAGAAAGTGTGAAAGTAGCGTTCTAATACGTCACAGTATTTATGGTAACATTCCTTACTGTAGAAATTTTGAAAGTAGTGTTCTAATACGTCACAGATTTTTATTACACCATTCCTTACTGTAGAAATTGTGAAAGTAGCGTTCTAATACGTCACAGATTTTTATATTAACATTCCTTACTGTAGAAATTATGAAAGTAGCGTTCTAATACGTCACAGATTTTTCTGTTAACATTCCTTACTGTAGAAATTGTGAAAGTAGCGTTCTAATACGTCACAGATTTTTTATATTAACATCCCTTACTGTAGAAATTATGAAAGTAGCGTTATAATACGTCACAGATTTTTATATTAACATTCCTTACTGTAGAAATTGTGAAAGTAGCGTTCTAATACGTCACAGATTTTTATGGTAACTGTAGCGTTCTAATACGTCACAGATTTTTATTACAACATTCCTTACTGTAGAAATTGTGAAAGTAGCGTTCTAATACGTCACAGATTTTTATTACACCATTCCTTACTGTAGAAATTGTGAAAGTAGCGTTCTAATACGTCACAGATTTTTTATTAACATTCCTTACTGAAGAAATTGTGAAAGTTCTAATGTCACAGAGTTAACATTCCTGTAGAAATTGTAGCGTTCTAATACGTCACAGATTTTTTATTAGCGTTCTAATACGTCATAACATTCTTTGTTAGCGTGTTAACATTCCTTACTGTAGAAATTGTGAAAGTAGCGTTCTAATACGTCACTGTAGAAATTGTGAAAGTAGCGTTCTAATACGTCACAGATTTTTTTTATTAACATTCCTTACTGACGAAATTGTGAAAGTAGCGTTCTGATACGTCACAGATTTTTATGTTAACATTCCTTACTGTAGACAATGTGAATGTAGCGTTCTAATACAGATTTTTTTTTATTAACATTCCTTACTGTAGAAATTGTGAAAGTAGCGTTCTGATACGTCACAGATTTTTATATTCACATTCCTTACTGAAGAAATTGTGAAAGTACTCTTCTAATACGTCACATATTTTTATGTTAACTGTAGCGTTCTAATACGTCACAGATTTTTGTGATAACATTCCTAACTGTAGAAATTGTGAAAGTAGCGTTCTAATACGTCACAGATTTTATAATAACATTCTTTACTGTAGAAATTGTGAATGTAGCGTTCTAATACGTCACATATTTTTATGTTAACTGTAGCGTTCTAATACGTCACAGATTTTTATGATAACATTCCTTACTGTAGAAATTGTGAAAGTAGCGTTCTAATACGTCACATATTTTTATTACACCATTCCTTACTGTAGAAATTGTGAAAGTAGCGTTCTAATACGTCACAGATTTTTATTACAACATTCCTTACTGTAGAAATTGTGAAAGTAGCGTTCTAATACGTCACAGATTTTTATGTTAACATTCCTGTAGAAATTGTGAAAGTAGCGTTCTAATACGTCACAGATTTTTTATTAACATTCCTTACTGAAGAAATTGTGAAAGTAGCGTTCTAATACGTCACAGATTTTATTATAACATTCTTTACTGTAGAAATTGTGAAAGTAGCGTTCTAATACGTCACATATTTTTATGTTAACTGTAGCGTTCTAATACGTCACAGACTTTTTATTACAACATTCCTTACTGTAAAAATTGTGAAAGTAGCGTTCTAATACGAATTTTTATGTTAACTGTAGCGTTCTAATACGTCACAGATTTTTATGATAACATTCCTTACTGTAGAAATTGTGAAAGTAGCGTTCTAATACGTCACAGATTTTTATGGTAACTGTAGCGTTCTAATAAGTCAAGATTTTTATTACAACATTCCTTAGAAATTGTGAAAGTAGCGTTCTAATACGTCACATATTTTTATTACACCATTCCTTACTGTAGAAATTGTGAAAGTAGCGTTCTAATACGTCACAGATTTTTTTATTAACATTCCTTACTGACGAAATTGTGAAAGTAGCGTTCTGATACGTCACAGATTTTTATTACAACATTCCTTACTGTAGAAATTGTGAAAGTAGCGTTCTAATACGTCACAGATTCCTTTTTTTTATTCCTTACTGTAGAAATTAGCGTTCTAATACGTCACAGATTTTTATATTTTTATGTTGTAGCGTTCTAATTCACAGATTTTTATTAACATTCCTTACTGTAGAAATTGTGAAAGTAGCGTTCTAATACGTCACAGATTTAATTCACAGATTTTTATTAACATTCCTTACTGTAGAAATTGTGAAAGTAGCGTTCTAATACGTCACAGATTTTTATATAACATTAGAAATTGTGAAAGTAGCGTTCTAATGTAGAAATTGTGAAAGTAACATTCGTTCTGTAGAAATACGTCACAGATTTTTATTTTTACTGTAGTAACTGTAGCGTTCTAATACGTCACAGATTTTTATGATAACATTCCTTACTGTAGAAATTGTGAAAGTAGCGTTCTAATACGTCACAGATTTTTATGTTAACTGTAGCGTTCTAATACGTCACAGATTTTTATTACAACATTCCTTACTGTAGAAATTGTGAAAGTAGCGTTCTAATACGTCACATATTTTTATTACACCATTCCTTACTGTAGAAATTGTGAAAGTAGCGTTCTAATACGTCACAGATTTTTATGTTAACATTCCTTACTGTAGACAATGTGAAAGTAGCGTTCTAATACGTCACATATTTTTATTACAACATTCCTTACTGTAGAAATTGTGAAAGTAGCGTTCTAATACGTCACAGATTTTTATGTTAACATTCCTTACTGTAGAAATTGTGAAAGTAGCGTTCTGATACGTCACGGAATTTTATGTTAACATTCCTTACTGTAGACAATGTGAAAGTAGCGTTCTAATACGTCACAGATTTTTATGTTAACATTGCTGTAGAAATTGTGAAAGTAGCGTTCTAATACGTCACAGATAGTTATGTTAACATTCCTTACTGTAGAAATTGTGAAAGTAGCGTAATACTCACAGATAACTGTACGTCACAGATTTTTATTAACATTACTGTAAAAATTGTGAAATTTTTGTAGTAGCATACGTCACTAATACGTCACAGATTTTTATTAACATTCCTTACTGTAGAAATTGTGAAAGTAGCGTTCTAATACGTCACAGATTTTTTATATAAACATCCCTTACTGTAGAAATTATGAAATTAGCGTTCTAATACGTCACATATTTTTATATTAACATTCCTTACTGAAGAAATTGTGAAAGTAGTGTTCTAATACGTCACATATTTTTATGTTAACTGTAGCGTTCTAATACGTCACAGATTTTTTATTACAACATTCCTTACTGTAAAAATTGTGAAAGTAGCGTTCTAATACGTCACAGATTTTTTATTAACATTCCTTACTGAAGAAATTGTGAAAGTAGCGTTCTAATACGTGAAGATTTTTATTACAACATACCTTACTGTAAAAATTGTGAATGTAGCGTTCTAATACGTCACAGATTGTTATGTAAACATTCCTTATTGTACAGATTGTGAAATCGGCGATTTAATATGTCACAAATTGTAATGTCACCATTCCTGCTCAAAGTTTTGAAATTAATGTTCTAATACGGCACAGTTTTCCATCATTATTCCTTGCAGTACAAATTGTAAAATCGGCATTCCCATACAACACGGATATTTAAGTCATCATTTCTTATTGCAAAAATTGTGAAATTGGCGTTCTGAAGTTGATCGATTCCTCACCATCTTGTACTCACATTGCTTAGTTGACAGATGAAGATGACAATGTCGTCATCGAAACATCACACTTAAAATTCCTGCTGGTTACGTTACGAGAATTTCTACACTATTCAAAATACCAATCTGAAGGAATTGTTCAGGAAGGAAAAACAATATTTTCCCAAATATGTGTCAACCACTGCCGGGGCAGTACACGCTCTCTTAATTGCGAACAAGCACGTGTAAAAATGTTTACCTATAAATGATAATTGTAACAGTTGTATAATTAGTATACCTCTGCTGCTGTTCTGACTTACTTGTTCAATAATGTTAAAGAGCCAGACCCACTCCTCGACCGATATTATTTTATATAAAAAAAATCATGATTTTCTATTTTTCTCGAGTAGCAAAAGTTGACTAACCCTGTAATACCGCAATTTTAAAGTAAATCGCTACCAATCT